TCGCCGATTGTGGTGCATGCCCTTTGGCCCCCTCTAGTCACGGCAGTGCGCAGCATTCCCTGTAGTGAGGTCGGTGTCGACAACTCCCGCAGTCAGGTTAATGTAGGGGCCTAAATAATTACCAACACTATTTGGGGCTCCTTATTATACTTATAGTTTGTAATGGGCCGCAAAACCCTATTTTGATTATTAAGGCCCCTACTTTATTAACAAGCGTTAAATCTTATACTATAGTCACAAGACTTACTTCAACCCGGAAATCCAAAGCCCTAAACTTGAAAGCCCCAACCCGAAGCCGGTGCTACTTCAGCTGAATGATCCGATAGGGCCTTGGCATGTCGGCCTGCGCCTTTTTCAATGGGTTTATGAATTTGGGTGTGTAGGGGTAACGTTTAGGGGAAATAAGGGCTATGCTGTCCTGCAGGTACGAGATTGCCTGCTTCCTGATTAAGCGCAAGGACGCGAATCGAATCAAGTTCCTGCCCGTGCAGATTTCCGTCATATGGATCCTGACTTACTTTGCTGTGTCAACGACTTGGCTGTCCTTCCTGCTGATCCAACGGCTCGGGAGTGAGCTGGTAATTAGTTGGCATGACGTCACCGGAAGGATCAACAGCGTTGGGGTAATGATTGCAGTTCAGGTTGGGATCCTGTATCCGCCCCTGTTTTATCTGCTGAACCAGATGCTTTTCGACATGGCCCAGTTGCCCGAACAGCTGCGAAGTTTCGATATCGAGACAGCGGAATGCCTTTGCTGCTCTACGAATCATCGGCAATCTGTGACTGGAGAGAAGATCCAATGTGACCGTGAGCTCATCTATGGCGTATTGCAGTTGTGGTCTTCCGGCAATACTGTGTTAGAGGAAGGGAGTGCGCGGCGTATCCAGGGTGTCTTCAAAAGCCACTTGGACAAGCACTTGCGAGAGCCAGTTGAGCAGGCCGTTACACACAGTGGGATTCTGATGCGCCCGTTGATGTCTGCCGCTGCGATCGGTTCCTTCCCCTTTTTGTGCGACTTTATTGGCAAGGAGGGTGCCAGAGCCGTGCAAGTCTGGCCGCGTCCGAAACCGATCAACAACCTTGGCCTCGCTGTCTACATGTTGTTTTGCATGCCGATCTTCCTCCGAAGTTTTCTGATGCTAGGCAGAGCCAGCACATCGTGGTGGAATCGGTCTCGGTTCAGGTATATAATTATCGCTTGCCAGGCGGTGTCCTTGCTCCTCATAAGCTTGCTGCTCATCGTGGGCTATCTTGTCTGCATCGCAATTAGCAAGGATAAGTGGACGAGAATGACATCGCCCATGGATCCCCTGCCCCTGTACTTGCTCAGCTTGGTTGTCCTTTGTAGTGTGGCCGTCGGTCTTCGTTATCTATGCCCCTGTCGGAAGTCAGTCCTGATCGGAGGCGCACCTTCTAAAGGGCGGAAGAAAGCTGCATCACCCCAGGTGACATTGGAGATGTCTGCTGCCAAAGAGGCGCAGGTGCCAGAAATGATGGCCGCTGCATCCGACATGTCAGAAGAGTCGACGTTCGAGATTTGACGGAGTGTTCCAATGTTGCAATGTCGTCTTGTGTCCAAGGACTACTTGGGCTTTGAAAGACCCGAGTCCGACCTGGGCATTTTTAAAATGCGATCTGATGAATTCTAAATTGTTATAAAGTACAAAGAAGTTTCACCCGACACCAGTGTATCAGTTACTACAGGGTCCAGATTCGACTAGAGCTTGGTAGAGGGAAGCTTTTTTGCCACTCGAGACCCAGGCCAATGCCATGAAAGAGAGTAGAGCGCTGCATCCACTGCACCCGGAAGACAACCACCTGAAGATGGCACTTTGAAAGGCAAAGGGGTCGGCAACATGCTTCCAAAATGACAATTCTGGTGGTTAGGCACGTTTTTGGTCAGGTTCTGCTTTCGACCCCTGGCAATCTATTGGCTCACTGCCCTGCCATGTAGTCAAGTTTCGGGAGGACGGCGCCCTTGCGAATCGTCTCGTCTGAACTGGCCTGCAGATGAGTTTACAGAGTAGCTCAGAGGGCTGTGCATGAACTGCATGACGCACTTCCTTCGTTTCACGGATTAAATTAGAAATCTTCACATGCCAACCACTCATCGCGTGCTGGCGGCAGGATGCAGTTGGCATAAAAAGCTCCGGTTATCTCGGTGTCAAGCGTCCAGGGACCCTAGGAACCCCTCAGACAGCTGTGTTGACTTCCCACCTCTGCCAACTCTGACCGGCCGTGGTCATCGCATCCATCAGTGCTTTTGTCAGGTAACGTGTGCGTCTTCCGGCCCAAGCTACAAGCATGCGCCTCCGATTGCCCAGCCACCCTTCGTTTTTTTACAGCCAAGTTGAACAAAAAAATCAGATTAATATTAGTAATAGTAATAGTATTAGTATTAATATTCGTATATGGAATGCTGCATCAATCAAACCTGATCTGGTCCCTACGGCACACTCACCCAAAGAAAAGCAAACTGCCGACCAGTCTTCTCGTTGAACCTAAGCCATGCGCGCCTTTTAATTTTTTATTGCGACCCGCACTGCCTTGCAAGTACCCTTGCAAAGCGGATTAGTTATCTCAATGCCAAGCCTCATGCCGGAAAGATTAAGACTCGTGTGAACGAGGGCCATGCCTGGGCCATGGCTGCGCACCTCCCAGCTGCGGGGCAAGGCCGGGGCCGGCGCGACTTGAATTTCTTTCAGAGCGCCCCCACCGCCTTTTTTTTTTGCGACCAGGTGCTCACGGTCTTTGGCCTTCCAGCAATAGGAGCGCCGCGCGCTGGGCTGGGCTCCCCGAGGCAACCTGAAATTCTGCAGACCCCAGATCCGTGAAATCCGTGGATCCTCTGAGTTGCTGCCGCCCCCATGACATCCTCCCAGCTTGACAGCGCAATCAACGAAAGCCTGGGCTTTCGGTGCATACTGAGCCTTCAATGAGGGGACTATCGCAGTTTGACACCCACTCAGGTTTCCAGCACCCCCTATACGAAATCCAATAGCCCAAAGCCTCCAAAGGTCGAGTCCGAAAGCCTCCAAAGCGAAGACTTCGAAGCCCGAACCCTGAGCTAGACTGAGCTGGAAGTTCCAGGGCGCAAAAGAACGCAAGCACCACCTTCAAGCCGGAAGCCTCGATGCCAAACCCTAACACCCTCCAGTTTTATCTGCTTGTCCTTGATGTTTTTGGGTACAGTGAAACAGATATTGCTCTTGCTGTCGCCGCCGTTGTCGTTGTGCTGAAGAAGGTGTATTTGTGGTGGTGGTGCGGGTTGTGGTGGTGGTTGTTGTGTTTGATGTAGTTCTGGTGGTTCTGGTGGTCCAGGTAGTTCGGGTGGTTCTTGTGGTTGTGGTGGCAGGGTGTGGTGGTGGTTGTGGTGTTGGTTGCGGTTGTGGTTGCGGTTGCGGTTGCGGTTGCGGTTGTTGTGGTTGTTGTGGTTGTTGTGGTTGTTGTGGTTGTTGTGGTTCATGTTGATGTTGATGATGTTGTTGTTGTTGTTGGTGGTGGTGGTGGTGGTGGTGGTGGTGGTGGCGGTGGTGGTGGTGGTGGTGGTTGTTCTTGTTGTAGGTTGATGGTTGTTGATTGTTGGTTGTTGTTTGATGCCCCTCAGCGATGCCCCTCGTAGCCTCAACGCCCGGCATTGTTGAATCCTTAGAATTATATCCCAAGGCCTGAGCCATATAAGATCATTGCGACGCTGTTATTAATAGACCTTAGACCCCCAAGACTCGACTTGTAGACCCCAAGCCTTTCAAACCTTGACCCTAAACCCAAAACCCTAAACCAGGCTTGGCTGGAAAGGTGGGAGCCGAAGTGCATCATTTGAGCAAGCGGCGTCTCCTTGGTGGCCTGGGCCAGCCTCTGACTTGCAAGCAGTTGGGAGTTTCCGAAAAATAAGGGGTTTAGGGTTTAGGGTTTAGGGGTTTAGGGGTTTAGGGGTTTAGGGTTTAGGGTTTAGGGTTTAGGGTGGTACCTTATTTCGGGGTGCTTATAATAAGGATCCTACTACTTAGGGGTACTATATTAGGGTCCCCTACTTTCGGAAAGCCCCAGTTGTTGGTCTTGAACGTCTCGTGCTTGGAGGATCATGGGACTTAGTAAGTAAAGTAAGGTTATAAGCACCCTAACTGGGGTTATAATTAGAGTTACCTTGTTTATAACCCTAGTTACTAAGTCCCATGATCCTCCAAGTGGATTTCGGCTTTAGGGCTTGGGGCGGCTTGAGGTTTTTGTTCGCGCCTCGGGGCATTCCTTGAGCTCCAGGCGGTAGCCCCGCTTGATTGAGTTGTTGGTCGCACTTGGAGAACCCCACTTCCTCCGTGTAATGAAACTGCACGTGAAGCAGTAGCTCCATTATCAAATTGAGCTGGCAACCCGTCTGCTACTAATGTAACTGTGCCTAAACCTTCTACTAGCGAATCTACGAACCCCCAAGCCCTAAGCTACCTACCCCTGAACCTAGAACCGTAGTCTACCAACCCCGAAACTTCCTTCCAAACCCCGAAGCGAAGTCTATTCTCCTAGCCGTTAGCGTGGGGGCGGACTTGCAGATAAACTAGAGACTCCAATATCCCTTAATTAAGGAATATACCTTAAATTATAGTAAGATCCCAGATACGATTTAGGGTATATTCCTTAATTAAGGGATATTGGAGTCTCTGGGAATCCCGGCTTGCAGCCTGAGGCACATGGCCAAGCAAGCCGAGGCCTACTCGATCAAAGAAGTAGTCGTTATGTTTTCGGGGGTTTAGGAGTTTAAAGTCTAAGGTTTAGGATTCTGGGGGGTTTGGGTTTTGGCTGGAAATTCCCGTCCCTTCTATATCGAATGGTATCACAAGATGAAGATTGGATTGAACCTGACCTCCTCCTCCTCCTCCTCCTCCCGCTCCTCCTCCTACTAGGGCTCGTGCCAGCATCAGTGGTAAGTTGTAATACTGCCACTGCTGCTACTGCTACTGCTACTGCTACTGCACCTGATACTGCTACTGCTACTGCTGCTAGCTACTGCTGCCGCTGCTACAGCCACTGCTGCTGCTTCTGTTACTACTACTACGACGACGACGACTACTGCTGCGACGACTACTACTACTACTACTACTACTACTACTACTCCTACTCCTACGCCTACTCCTACTCCTACTCCTACTCCTACTCCTACTCCTACTCCTACTGCTGCTCCTACTCCTGCTCCTACTCCTACTCCTACTCCTACTCCTACTCCTACTCCTACTCCTACTCCTACTCCTACTCCTACTTCTACTCCTATT